AGCTTAAATCTCATAACATTATACATTTATATATATTTATTATTTTTATTACATTGACTTTTCACCCGTGCCTGGTTAACAATCAGAAATTACAACGACCCAGCTCATGTGCACTCGTTACCATATCAAATAACATAAAGGTGACCTTTGGTCTGTACAAAGTAACTTGTCTTGGCTGTGTTTAAGTTGACTAGTGTTTTGTAAAATACAGTCACATTTCAATTATTATACATTATATATGTATATAGCTTATTGCTATTTTGAAATAAATTCTTAGTTATTTTTCCTAGAACATAGAACAGTAAATAAAGAAGTAAAGCAAACAATTATTTATTCTGGTTACGACCTTTGTACTCAGTTGCTGCTTCATGTAGGTTGCTAAGCCTTTAAAAATTTTGCATGTAGAGGACATGAAACAGAATATTTTTTTAGGTTTTATATATACTTTAATAACTAAAAAGTCATAAATTGCTACATCATTACTATGGAATTCTACTATAATTTATCAATCTTAGTAACTAAGCTGTATTTGGGTCTAAAAAATATAAAATTTTGAGTAGAGTAAAAACACAATCTACCTCATTGAAATCTTGGTTTAAAAGAAAGATATGGCATTAGGTACATTAGAAAGGCTGAGAAAACCACTAGGGGGACATTTTGAGTTTCTGATTCGTTATTCATGTCACATATATAAATAAATATAAATATAATATAAAAAATGGAAGGAGGTGAGCGGGATGCCACTATCTTTGAATTATTACATGAGCAATATCTTAGCAAATAGTAAAGACAAGAGGCTCTTATTTTATAATCTAGCTTCTCAATATCTGTAATTTGAGTTTCTAATTCATATGAAACTATAGAACTTAGTATTTTGACTTCACAAACATCTAATTTGAACCTGTGCTCCATTCAACATACCACGTGACACACAAAAATCAATGTTTATCTGTGTTTTTTTATTTACTTTTAAATAAAAAAATTGAGTAATGTACAGTTCTAAAATCTAAATTATAATCTACAGTCTGATACCAAACTTATTGACATAAATTTATGAAATAGTAGTTCTATAAAATTTTGAATGCGAGTCAGCAAACGAGATGACATGGCCTTTCACCTCTGATCCATCTCGAAAGGGTTAAAGTCTTTATAGATTTAATACTTCTAACTTACAATATATTGTGCATATCTTCACAAAATTTTGCAGTTTTTCAGTTAATATGTCTTACACATAGAAAAATTAATATTTTTTAGTGAAGTATTTTTAATAAAATAAAATACAGATATGTCCATGAATGTGTTGAGTATTTGTTTTGAATAGTCTGTGTGCAAAGTAATTTTCATGTTAAAATTAAAAATACTTTTCCTGATCTCAAAAATCTCAAATTTCCTTTGTTTAATCCTTAAAACCTCCTAAATGTATTTCAAACTTTTTTTTTCAGTAAAACTTTATAGTTTATCTGTTATCTGTATACCCTATCTCAAAACCAAAGAAAAAATCGAAATAAACCTAAATTAAACTTTTTTCTTTCTTGCATGACTTCAAATTGTAACATGAAACTACATTCATTTATCCTAAGTAGCTGTAAGTTTGTAACAGTATACATCTATTTATAATTAAATGTTGTTGTTTTATTGCCCTTTGAACTGTGTGTAACTACTATCCTCACCATTACAAGTTGTAAATCACTCAGGGAATGTGCAGCTCACATTACGCTATCAAATTACATTACCCACGAACTGCTCATGTGTGTGCTCGTGAACCATTTTAATTATATTATTATTATTAATTATTATTTTACCTAATTTAGTCTTAAATAGCCTAAGGAGATCCCTATTTTTACATTTTAGTTACTTTTATAATAATAAATAAATATGAAAAACAAGAAATAAAGTACTTACCCAATCCTCTTTTTTTCTTGCCCTCGATTGTCGAGGAGAGTTAAGTCTGATTTTGTATAGTATAATAATGTACTTAACAATTTTCATTTAATTAAATAATGCACCAAAGAATATAGACTAATAACATGCAAAAGGTAGACAAATTCACTAACCTTTCAAAATTTTCCTGGCTTTCTAACTATGCAACAAGAGTCGTTATAAATTCATCAAAGCTAGTCGTTAACTTTCTCATGGGAACGATGTTGCTACTCTGAGTGAAATTGACGATTATTTGTTCAGAACACAACATTATACAATATGTCATTTGATAGATGAAAACTTTGACTTTCTATTGGTTATAGATAATATATAATGAAAAGTAAGAGAGAACTATCAACAAATTGTGAAAGAGTGGGTGTGGCAGGAGGGGTCTGATTTTCCATTTGATAGCTCTATAACCAAACAAAATTGAAGGCTGTAAAAATTATGGTTTGTTTGAGCAATAAGGATTTTCTAGAGAGTATTTTACGTTTAATTTCGTACATTTTCCAGGGGTGATGGATAAAATAGGGATGATGACATACTAAGACAAAATGTGTCACACTAGTGAAAATCCAGGATTTTTTTAAATATTGCCTTGTAAAATTTAGAACTTAAAACTTGTATACTATTAAAATATGGATTA